CAGGCAACTTGGGAAGACTAGGGAAGAATGATGCTGCCTATTTTCTACTTTCTCTTTTTGGGGAAGTTCATTGGATAAATAGTGGCAGAGCAACCGGAAGTGTTCTTGGATGATGCCTCTGCCCTTGACCCATTTCCATCTGGCTTCAGGCCTGGCTCTTGGACTGGGAGAACTTTAATTGCACCTGTTGTCAGTTTCTGATTACAACTGGATAAAAACAATCCACAGTTGCTGGTCCTGTTGGATCTTGTCAGTGTTTTTACTTGGATGACCACCCCCATTTTATTACATCATTTAGAACAACAATCTCCAACATGGTGACCACTGATGGATGCCCTACTGGCACCCACTTAGTTTCCCCCAAAAGCAAAAGGATTTTTCCACCTTATTGAAGCAGAAGGTATTGAAAAGAGCTCAGTCAGGAGACATCACCTTTGAGTTTGCAGACAGCACCCAGATATAGCTGCCTCCATCACAGGAGGATGCTTGGCTTAGACCCTCCCAACATTTTGCTATTCCCTCCCTGCCATGGCAGCCATTTTGTGATTAGCACCCACTAACCTTCCTTAAGATTCGAATACTGTCCACAGGTTCAACAATCCCAGAGGTTGTTGGGAGTGGGAGAACCTTGAAATATGAAATAGATATTCCAAATAGGTATGTGGAACATGGTATAGGTATTAAGAGGTCTGCCAGGTTGCCTGGTATGGTGCCCTTGAAGTTCATGCTCTGGCTGCTGTTTGATGGAGTAGTGGGAGCAAAATGGGGGGGGGAGCAATGTAGGACATCATGACATCATTTCTGGCTTTGGACCCAGAAGTAATTTTATGACATCACACAATGCTCTAGACTAGAGATGTCGAACTCATTTGTTATGAGGGCCGGATCTAAAATAAATATCACTTTGTCAGGCCAGCCCATGTGTGCCATAAAATGTAATGCCAGATAGTGGAGATACAAACTGTATAAAGGACAGCAGCTGGCAAACTCTGAGTTGGTGTATCCTCACTGCAAGGCCTCATGGGCTGGGAAGGGGGTTCAAAGGAAAACCCATATGGGCGGACTGGAGAGCCAGCAGTGCAGCACTGGGCAGACATTCCCACGCTGCTTGACTGCTGCAGATGAAGTTGTTCCGCCATGCTGAAGCCACAATTGGAGTGGCCCCGCCCACTCCCCCAAGCAGTCTCCTGTTCCCTCCTTTGTACTAGTTCCTTGCGGGCCGCATAAGAGCCCTGGATGGGCCAATTCTGGCCCCCAGGCCTTATGTTTGACACCCCTGCTCTAAATGTTTCACAAATCTCTATAGTAATAACCATAGAGATTAGGGAAATTCCTAGAGCGTCATCCCTGCCATACTTTCATGCCAGGCCTGATACTGGAATGGACATCACAGCATTGAGCTGTGTCAGTTTTTGAAGTCTTTGCCCCCTCATTGGTCTTGGGGGTTTGAAAATACACACACCCCTTTCAGACAAAATGGCCGTCATGCATATTGGGACGCTTGTGTATAGTGTGGCAGCATGATCTCCCTGAGTGGAGAAAAGAAAAGTAATGACTGAAAGGGGCTTTCCTGCCCCCCAAATGTATTTATATATCATTTATATTTTTCAAGTCAGTCTTAAAGTGCAGGATTATTACCACAGCCCACTGAGGACATGATAGAATCACCAGGAACTTTTCCTCACTTCATTCTAACGAAAGGAGTTCGTCTTGTGCTTCTGAAAAGAACACAGCAGACGTGACTGCTTCATGCTCCATCTCTGCTGCTTCAAACTCTTTCTCCAATGAGGGTGGATATCCTCAGATACTCATAGCAGACAAGCCAAAGATGTTTCAGAAGGCTATCTTATGACATAACCTTTTTCAGGATCACCTCTGAAGAGTATTTTGAGATTGCGGAAACTGTTTGATTACACAGTATAGCTTCGCTTCCTAGACTGATGTTAAAGAAAGTTGAGGGAGGATCTGTTTTGCCGGAGGAAAGGAGGGATATGATATTTAGAAGGCCACTTTGTGTTTCCCAGTTATTCTAGAATACTAGAGCCTAGAGGAGTTCCAGCTCTAGTTTTACTTGTGGCTTGGAGTTTCTCTCCGTAGACTGATTCTCATCAGAGTGCCATGAAAAGCTCTTGGATATGATACCTCACCCGATAGATTTGATGCTAATGTTTGTTCAGATAAAGTCATACTTTGTTTATTCGTGACATTTGTGATGCACCTTGGCTAAAGTCTTGGTGAGCTTCATGGCTAGCATTTGGAGTCTGATCCAGGCTGGCAGTGAGCCATTCCTGCGTGGTACCTAGGGTGGCCAACACTAGGTAAGGAAACATCTGGAAATTTGGGAGGGAAGCCGGGGGAAGGGAGGGTCAACAAGGTGCAGTGCCACAGAGTCCACCTTCCAAAGCAGCCATTTTCTCCCAGGTAGGGTAGCCAAGTTTAAAAATCGCAGCAGCGGGGGACTCCTGTCCGGTGACTAGTGCACGCGCCACACGCACGTCACCCGGAAGTGACATTAGGACGCCGGGTACACTAGGGGCAGGGCCACGACCATCGGAGGGAAAACCATAGAGTTTTCCCTCGGATGACCGTGGCCCCGCCCCCAGTGTGCCCGGCATCCTAACGTCACTTCCAGGTGATGTGCACGTCGGGGTGGGGTTCCCCCCGGGGCCCGATCCGCTGGCGGCGAGAAACGGGCCTCTGGGGCGGGGGTTTCTCCGCCCCCCCGGGGGGACTTGGGAAGCCTACTCCCAGGGAAACTGATCCTTGTCATCTGGAGATCAACTGTAATAGTGTGAGAACTCCACGTGCCACCAGGAGATTGGCAACCCTATGTGCCCCCTCTGCACATAAATCCTGATGGGCTACAGAGTTGTACTGTGGCCAAGCAAGAGCATTACTCCACTCCAAGAAGGCATTGAAGAAGAGGTTTTTATAGCCTGCTTTTCTCTGCCTTTAGGAGTCTTAAAGCAGCGTATAATCACCTTTCCCTTCCTCTCCCCACAACAGGCACCTTGTGAGGTAGGTGGGACTGAGTGAGCTCTGAGAGGACTGTGACTGGCCCAAGATCACCTAGCAGGCTTTGTACGGAAGAATGGAGAATCAAACCCCCGTTCTCCAGCTTGAAGTCTGCCGCTCTTAACCACTACACCATGCCGCTCTCTGTTGGAATTGTAGAGCGTTGGAATCTAAACACCACACCCCACTCACACCAATTGAAATTATCAGTTCCTTTATTTTAATATCAGAGGGAAAATAACTGGTATGAATAATAATAACAACAACAACAATAATAATAATATAATATAATAACATAAAAGTTCACAGGCTTGGCTTGTTTCACAGAAAAGTCCAAGACGGAAGTAAAATATGTAAACAAGATTCATACCTTGTAATCGACTTAGGCCTGCATCCCAGAGATACTAAAATTGGTTTCTGCATCACTACGCCTGCGCAGCAACAACATACCAACTTGCACCATTCATATTCACACATGAATATTATTCTTGCACTCTCCACAGCCAGCCATATTTTGTTTCCTGAGAAGAGAGAGGCCACACCCTCAGACAGAGAGTTTGACTATTACCTCAGGGGCAGCCAATGCAATACCAGTGACCAATACTACTCATGTGGGTACAGAGTCCCCTAAACTGTTGATAGCTGTCTGTCTAACCATCTTCATCCCTTTCGCCAAGTTCAGGACTGCATATATGGCTCTTCACCATTTTATCCTCATAATCTGTGAATAGGGTTCCCAACACTGCCTAGGCAAATGCTGGGAGATATGGGGGGGGGGGGGGGGGCAGCAACTGAGAAGGGCAGAGTTTGGGGAGGATGCAATGTCTCTTCAGACTAAGACGCTAGGGATTTTCCCAGTCCCTATTGTAAAGACAACAGAAAATAGGGGAAATTCCCAGAGTGTCACTGTGGAGTAGGGTTGCCAGGTCCCTCATGGCCACTGGCGGGGGATGAGGGGGGTAGGATTGCCAAATCCAGGTTGGGAAACTCCAAGAGATCTGGGGACGGAGCCTGGGGAGGACGGGGACTTCAGTGGGGTACAAGGCCACAGAGTCCACCCTCCAACGCATCCATTTTCTCCAGGGGAACTGATTTCTGTAGTCTGGAGATGAACTGTAATTCTGGGGGGTCCCCAGGTCCCACCTGGAGGTTGGCATCCCTGCTCCAAAGGCCTTTCTTTTTTTCCTCCTTTCCACTCCTCAGTTTCTCAAAGGTGGGGAATTGGGGCATGGGAAATTCTTATCTAGGCCTAGGCAGTTAGGAAGCCTACCTGTGAGGTGGGTTAGGCTGAGAGTGAGTGACTGGCCCAGTGAGTTTCATGGATGAGCACAGATTCAAATTCATGTCTCTCTAACCTGGTTCTAATCCAGCACTCACTAAGGCACTTGATTTTTCTCCATTAAAATGGAGGGGGGCACATTTCATACAACCCCAAAGTTTACTGTTCACTTATAAGGCACAACATTCACCATTCCTCAGATGAAGGCCCCTTTTTGAGCTTCTGCATGTGCCATCATTCTGGGCATGCCTTTTCACTGGAGCAAGGCCAGCCAGGATCAGCAACTCATGCAGAGATGCAACAGGCAACCTCCCACTAGGATGGCTTTCTCCACTGTGTCTCAGTATTGCAGGGGACTTAACCATTCCGTCCCAACTGACACAAGTCACAGTTGCCTACCCAACTGATCGGAAGGCGACAAGGCTACAGTAGTCAATCATATGCAGAAGGCAGTTTCCTCCCTAGATGTGTACTGCAAGAAAAATGAATTCCGAGTCCAAAATACACAGTTTAGGAACTAGGAAACTGCCTGTTCACAGAACCAGGATAATATACCCCGACCAGATAATCTAAAATTAAATAGCCACTTTTCTAAAAGGACCTTAATTCAAGTTAGACAAGCTCCCTCCTGCACCACCTGCTACATTAGCTATATTCACTGTTTTAAAAAATACCCATTAAGAACCAGGCTGGGAAGGGAGCCTTTGTAGTGTCACTTGTAACAGCATTAACCCTGGACTAGGGATTGGAATCTTGTTTGCTCCCTGTGGGAATAACTGGAGAGGAAATAAGGCAGCGGCAAGATGAAATACACTTCCCTACATCTCCCTCAAACCCACTCCCCCACCCTCAGTCACCTCCAGTTCAGTTTCTGCATCTAACTTTTTAAAAGGTCATCACTAGTACTTTGCTCTGTTTTGGGGCCAGCTTGTCCTCAGAGCTGGATCAGCAACGGCATCTTTGTCCTTTGTCTTCAATATCTCCATATACGGGCTCAAAAAATGTTGTCTCTCCTGTGCTTGGATAAAAGTCTGAGAATCCCTGAGCTAAAAGAAGGCTTGACTTTGCTTGGAGATGCCAGTAGACTGCCAGTGAGGACAGGCCCCTTCTACGTTCCATTTGGGGGCACTTTCAAAGGCAAAAGTTGCCCTGCTGCAGAGAGGGTGGCGGGGTGGTGCTCTGGAGCAGGGCAGATGATTTGCGCGAAGCCTTGCGCAGCAGCGGACTGTCTGGATGGCGCTCCTGCAGATGGCGCATGTGACCCTCTTGGCTGTCGGCCGTGGCACCGCAGTCCTCGCAGACATACAGCTTGGCACGGCGCTCCTTGTAGGCGTAACTTTGCTGCACTCCGTGGATCTTCTTCAGGTGAGACTCAAGGGAACAGCGTTGGGTGAAGGCCTTGTCACAGAGTTCACACTTGTAGGGGCGCACACCTGCACCAAGAAAGATGGAGAGGGAATTGACTTCAGTCAGAGGGGGAAAGGTATGCTCCTGCCAATAGCTACAGAGCTCTTCCTTCCTAAACACCCCATTGTGTTTTTATTCTACTTTTCCTCCAAAGAAGAGGAGGAGGAGGAGGAGATTGGATTTATACCCCGCCCTTCACTACCCAAAGGTGTCTCAGAGCGGCTTACAAACTCCTTTCCCTTTCCCTCCCCACAACAGACACCCTGTGAGGTGGGTGGGGCTGAGAGAACTCTGACACAAACTGCTCTTTCTCAAGGACAGCTGTGCTAGAGCTTGTGACTAACCCAAGGTCACATCAGCAGGTGCAAGTGGAGGAGTGGGGAATCAAACCCGGTTCTCCCAGATTAGAGTCCGCACACTTAACCACTACACCAAACTGGCTCTCAACTCAGAATGGCATATGGTTGCCAGGCAACCGGCAGGAGAGTGGGGGACAATGTCACCAGAGTGATGACATTACTTCTGGGGAACATCCAGAAGTGACTGTGGTAGCTCTAGGAATCACTGGGAACCTATGATAGAGTTGGTTTTATCATAGAATTTCTGGTGATTCCAAGAGCTACTGCCGTCTCTTCCAGGTTTTCCCTGGTAGGGAAATCATTGCACAGGCAATACCAGTGAAATTTTAAAAAATTAATTTAATTTGTTTCATTTCCCCCTCACTTGGAGTGGGGGATCCCCTGCCTTGACCAGGGGCCTCTTTATATAAATACGGTGCATAAATTTTCATAAAAGTGCAACAATTAAAAGTCACATCATCTACATTGTTATAATCTCTCATCAAAGGAACAGGACACAACTCACGGTAAACCAAAATAATTTCAGCTATGCGATCAATGTCATAATGGTTTGCTGAATAGCAATAATTCATTCTGTAGGAGATTTTCTACCAATTAGTAACTCTCATTAGTGAGATAAGGTGTACAATGCTTTCCACAGTCCATTTCACAGAAAAAATCCATTATAAAGAATCAATCTGATTATTATTTAGTAAGTGTTCACAGTTGTATATTTTTGTGACCCCTTATTCCATAATTCTCTTGTGGCTTTCTTCTTGACCAGGAGATTGGTAGGCCTAGGCCTAGGGGGTTCTCCATTTGGTTGTCAAAACAAAGCTGGAGAGTGACCAGCTCAAGATCCCTCAGTCAGCTACATGACTGAGCGGGGACTTGAACAGGCTTATTTTCTTTCCCGCAACAAGTAAAATTCTATACTTGCCCCAATCTCCCACCTTTGAGAAACTGATGAGCAGGAGGGGAGAGAAAAACTGCAGGACAATGACCTCCATAGTGATGCTCCAGGAATTGCCTCATGCCCCCTTGGTCTTTGGTGTAAGAGCAGCGGACTCTAGTCTGGGAGAACTGGGTTTGATTCCCCGTTCGTCCACAAGCAGCTGCTGGGGGACCTTGGGTCAGTCACAGTTCTCCCAGAGCTGTTCTCTCAAGACCAGTTTCTGTCAGAGTTCTCTCAGCCCCACCTACCTCACAGGCAGTGTTCCTTCTATGCTGAGTCAGTGTGAGCTAGCTCAGTTTTTTAGCCTCCAGCTCACAAATTTTTGTCTTAGCTCAGGAAGGATGGCTCCAGAGCAAACTAATTTATGCAGTTGCCAAATCACTCACTCACAACTTTAATGCCAGTAGCTCACAAAGTAGAATTTTTGCTCACAAGACTTCACAGCTTAGAGGGAGCACTGCTCACAGGGTGTCTGTGGTGGGGAGAGGAAGGGAAGGAGATTGTAAAATGCTCTGAGACTCCAAGTGAAGGGTGGGTTTTAAACCCAACTCTTCTTCTTCTTCTTCACTATAGAAATTAGGGGGAAATTCCTAGAGTGACACCTGGACATGACATAGGGTTGCCAGTCAGGAGGGCTGCGGGTGGAGACATGGTGGGTTGCAGTGTCACAAGTGGGATGACATCATTTCTGGGGAAAACCATAAAGTTCCTGATGATTCTAGACCTACTGCTTTTGCTTCCGGGTTCCACCAGAAGTGACATCATCATGCTCACAATACCAGTGAGGGTCCCCCTGCCCCATTGCCACTTGGTGCCGTGGCAGGCAACGGAAGCTTGGGGTGGGTGATCCCTTAAAAGCCACCTCCACATCTTGTAGCAAGTTCTCCAAGTCAACTGGGAGTTGCACAAAGTACTTCTTGTCCTCTGTCCTGAGCCTTCTGCCAATGAACCTTGCTGCCAATCAGCGCTCCCCCAAGTTCTGAAGCAAGCCTGATCTCCTACCTGGCACCCACACAGCCTTGCGAAGCTCACCTGTATGCGTCCGGACATGGCGCTTGAGGTCAAAGGTGTCATTGAAGCCTTTATTGCAATAGGAGCAGAGGTGCCGCTTCACCTGGCTGTGGCACTTCAAGTGGCGGTTCAACATCCGCTGGTAGGAGAATCCTTTCTGGCAAACAGGGCAGCAGAACTGCTCACCCGGCCCTTCACCTTGGGTCACCTGCAGAAGAACACAGAGTTTGCTGTCAGGGAGGACTTGCACACAAGGAAGATACCTTATACCCCATGCTGGGTGCTGTTGATACTTAAACAAATAACACATCTGCATTGCTTTATAAAGACCCAGACGTGTAACAAATCGCCTGTGTCATGGAAACCACACGGAGTTTCCCAGAATTCATCTCTGTTTCTGCAGCCCCTTCCAAACTGTGGGAATACAATTCTTGGGATCATGGCATCCATACAGAAGAAAAGCCATGCGGGTCGGTGGGCTGGAGTGAGGAACGACAAGGGGATGAAATAGACTCCCTTTCCTCAACAGAGTTGTGCTTTTGTCCATGGCTCAGTGGTAGAGCATCTGCTTGCCATGCAGAAGGTCCCCAGTTCAATCCCCGGCATCTCCAGTTAAAAGGACCAGGCGGTAGGTGATGTGAAAGACCTCTGCCTAAGACTCTAGAGAGCCACCGCCAGTCTGGGTAGCCAATACTGACTTTGAGGGCATGGTTCAGTATAAGGCACCCGTATGTTTTCAAGAGGAAGGAAGGAACAGTTTCACCCCCCTGTCCTTCCTTACTCTAGCCTCCCCAAACCCATATGATTCATTGTCTGTATGTATCCCACAATGCCTGGGAGTGATCTTCCTAGGGATGGAAAGGGGCTGCAGGAACAGACATGAATGCAGGAAAACTCTATGATCTGTGCACATGCTATGACACGATGTGCACCATCGTTGTTAACCCATCGCAGCTCCTGTTCTGCAAGCACACAGAGGCTCCCACTGTACCCATCATCACCATCTCTCGCCATGTCATAATAAGCAATATTATACCAAGCTGGACCATTGAGCTCCCTAATTTCGTATCGGCAGTTAGTAGAGATAGCTCTCGAAAGTCTCAGGCAGGGAGCTTTCCCACCTTGGATACTGGAGGAGCCCAAGTTTGAACTCCAGGATCTCCTCCATGCAAAGTATCTGCTCTACACCCAAAGTGTGGAACTTCCCCTCTCTTTGTGCCAGTCTTACCTTGATCTTGGGACACAAGAATCCAGGCTCTCCATCCTGGGGTATCCCATTGGGGACCTGGGCTGTACAACGGGGCTGTGCTGCCATATAACTGGAGTCTCGTATTGTCATGTCCAGTGGCATTGAGTACGATGGGGGTTCTGCAACGGAAGGCTCCAGATTTTTCCACAGGGCATACCCGCCCAGTGAGACTAAAGGGGAAAAACAGGCAATATTAACATATTGCTTAAAAATAATCTGGGTTTAGATAAACAGTTAGAGGTATGGAAAACAAATATAAAAATTACCAAAGCAATTTCATATAAAGAAAATATTTACAAAATGTTTTATAGATGGTATATGACTCCAGATAAACTAGCAAAGTTTTATCTTGATTTACCAAACGATTGTTGGAAATGTCAAAAGACAGTTGGTTCATTTTTTCATATGTGGTAGACATGTGACAGAGTTAAAAAAATATTGGTCTTCATAAAATATTGGATTCATGAAATGTTACAAAAAACGTTAGAATGTACCGTACCATTTATACCTGAATTATTTTTATTGAATATAATTTCAGAAAAGTGTAATACATGTAGTGACCACTGCAAGAATCTTATATGCCAAATATTGGAGGAAAAATGAAGTACCTTCAAAAGAAGAAATGATAAATAAAATTCTTGAAACTGCCAAGATGGATAAATTAACTTTAATTTTGAAAGGACAAAAAGAAGGAAGATAAATGGCTGGAAGATTGCAGTAAATGAACAATATCAACCTTTAATTATATTAGAAGGAACTACAGAATACATTTTTTAATATAATGCAGAATATTTATACAAAAATGTATGGTGATAAATAACTGGCTATTATATAAATAGACAATGTAGGAGGTAACAAACTAGATACAACAAAGATGTATATGGAACCCCCAAATTTGTATGTATTTATGTTTGTTTGTTTTTTGTTTGTTTGACATAAAATAAATTATTTAAAAAAATAATCTGGGTAAGGGGAACGTAGGGTTGCCAGGTCCCCCCTGGGGGGCGGGGAAAACCCCGCTCGATAGGCCCGTTTCCTGCTGGCCCGGATTGGGCTGCCGGGGGGAACCTCGCCCCCAAAGTGTGAAACGTGCCCGGCGTGAAGACATCATCCGGAGGTGACATCATCATGTTGAGCACATTGCGGGGGGACGCACCCCCAACGTGCCCGACACGATGACATCACTTCCGGGGAGCTTCGGGACTGCCCCCCGCTAAATCGTGAGTAACACTTGGCAACCCTAGGGGAACGTGACCCCTTTCCTAACAATAATGCACTGGGTGTGAGAACAGAAGAGGTAGTTAAGAAAGTTTAACATCTGGATGGATAGTTCCAAACTGTGCTTATTTGGGGATCGGTAGTAACCCCAGTCTTATTAGTCTGGAATAAGAGAAAGCAGTCTTGAAAACCTGTTAAGCAGCAAGGCCAGGAGAACGGTTAACAGGCTTGTCACCCCCACAGCAGTCTTCCTGATTATGTTTATTAACATAAGAAGAGCCCGGCTGGATCAGGCCATTGGTCCATCTAATCCAGCATCCTGTCTCACACAGTGGCCAACCAGTTCCTCTGGACAGCCAACAACAGGGCACAGAGGACTTGATCATGGGATCGCTGTTGTGTATTTCTATAAGTTATTTTTTGCTCTTTTATGTAGTGCATTGTGATTTGGTTTCGGCCTCCCCCACCACCACCACTATGAATTCTTATTGGGAGAATTTGTGCACTGTCAAGTCGCAGCTGACCAAGGTCTACCCTGTATGGTTCAGTTCAGTTTGTTTCAATACAAAATCAGCTCCAAAAATATTAATAAAAACAATTTAAAAATGCCACGTATGATACCAAGACCAACAAAATACATATGTGTGCTACTATAATCCAACATTCCAAAGTTCTTGTGCACATTTCACAATAGAGGGGGGTCAGTTATTTGAAGACTTAACCACCTGCTTTCGTATTGCACATGCCATTATACAGAACTTTGTTACGCTATTGGTAATTTCTTCAGAGAAGTCTGAAAGGAGGAGGGAAGGGATTGAGCAGAGGTGGTTTGCCATTGCCTGCCTCTGCATAGTTCCCCTGGTATTCCCCCATCCAAATACTAACCAGGGCCGACCCTGCTTAGCTGCCAAGCTCTGGTGAGATCGGGCTAGTCAGGACGATGGTTGTTAAAGAGAATAAAAATAAATAGTCTCCAAAAGAACTCCACAAGCCTGAACGAGGCTTGATGGGAGACAAGGTTAAGCTGCAAGTCAGCTTCTGTGGATGGTGTGGTCCCCACAAAATTTACCATCCCTTTGACGAAGAAGCTAGCCCTCATGACTGGAAGGAACTCTGCTGAAATCACTGTGAAGCTCCCCCCAATGTACCCCCACGATGCTCTGCCTTCAAGCACCGCCACCACCACCACCACCACCTCCCAAAGCCAACTTCAACAACGAGTAAACAGCTCAGAACCGGTTAACCGGGATGTTATTGGAAAGTCCAACCCAGCCCAGAGAGTTAATTAAGTGTTTCCGGCCCGGCGCCACAACTCCAGCTCCTGTCACCTGCCTCAGGGGGGTGGAGTGGGAGGGGGGGGCCTGTTGCAATCACCCTCGAAAAAATTCACGGAGCATCATGTAGACTTCCCATTCTCCCTGGCTCCGTTGCAAACAGCAAGGACACCTCAGCATTAGACAGAGCCCGAGTGGGATTCCTGTGCGTTGTGAAATCTGGAGTGGAGCTATGCCCTTTCTGACCACTCACACTGGTCAGTGGCTAGGGGAAACGCTGCCGATCCACAACAAGCAGTTATGAAAGAAAATCTGAGGAATGAAGGCTGTAAAATCCACTTGTGTCCAATTAAAAGCGCATCTCTGAGTGTCAAAAAGCCCTCCCTTGCATGGAAGCGGTGTTATGTTTCATACTGATTCATATCAAAGAGCCTGAAGTGAATTGGCAAATCATTTGGAGCCTGTCAAACGTGTCGTTTTAAAAATGTTTTTAAAGGAATATGAAATATTTTATGAAGTATTGCAATTTTAAAGGAGAGGTGCTGGAACTTGAACCTCTTCGAAAGCCATAATTTCTGCTCTCAGAGCCCTGTTATTTCATCTCAGCTATGTGAAACCCGGCAGCAATTATCAGCATGCTCTGCACATACTCAGAGACACTCTCGTTACGGTATGGAGCATTCCCGTTCACATTAAGCTGTGCTCGGAAGTTCTGTTTTAGGAAAAGAGGAGGGATCTCTTGGGAATCACCGGAGAACACAGGATCCCAGCTGTGTTATTGCCCTCCCTTCCATGTCTGATAGTTGTGCGACAGGAAGAAACTCAACAGGCCCAGCTTCCCCAGTCACAGCATCTCCATCCCAAGAAAGGCATCACCTGGTGAATTTCTTCCCGTCACAAAGCCTTAAACACGCAGGAATCGTTTCCCCCTCAAAATCCCCTTCCCAGCTTTGCTATCGGCTCCACTTCTGCCCCAGCTGATGATTTCACCACCCAGTTATGTTCACTGCGGCTGACTTCTAGCTTAGAACTCACGTTGTTGACGGCTGCGCTACCTGCCTCAAGACATATGCAACCCTCCTAGTTCAATGCACAGCTTCTCATGCTTTCTAAGAAATGTTGGGGCAGGATCTCAGCACCCAGAGTGCAGATGGGTTATGGGTTTGGTCCTAAGAACTCAGCTTCAGCACTTGTTTTGAACTTGCCCAGAAAAAAGAAAGCCTCTGATTATGCGCAGAATTCTTCTTCCGTAACCACCCGTCCCCCACACATGGGATTTGGCCCATAGGAGTTAGTGTCAGCTATTCACTTGTATGGCAGAAAGGCAAATTCAGGAAGGTTGCAAAGACACACACACACACCCCTTCGTCTGTATGGCATCTTCTGTTTGTTGCATGCTGGCATAATCAACAGGCACCAGGAGAGTAGGACAGAAGCCTGGTTCACACATGCAGGAGACCAAGGTGGTAAAGTGGATGTTAGAGGATTTCCAGTTTTTATGGAAAAGCCTTCCTGCCATGAAGAAAATTGTAACATCAGGAAATAGGGTTCTGTACCCATCTCTGCTAGTTTTCTGCTTGCAGGGAGTTCTTAACACAGGGGAGCCTTCCCCTCTGCAGTCTGAAGCCATACAGTCAACTGGACCATCCCCTTCCTGTCCCTTTCTGTTGCGTGTGTGAACCAGGCAGCCAGCTTCAGTGGCGGAAAGTGGTGGTGGTGTAGAAAACACCAGGCTAACAATCTGCATATAGATTTCATGGGGGGAGGGGGAGATGGACCAGCCTGTACCCCACTTTGGGGCTCAGGAGAAGAGACGAAAGACTAAGAGGGAGGAAGTGAAGGCATGTGAGGACTAGGAAGAGAATCAAAGCCACGGGACAAACGGACTCAGGAAACTCAGGCATTTCTCCGTGTAGCAGTCCAGCCACCAGAACCAGATCCCTGGTTGTCCCGCCTGGAGGAGAGCCGCCCATTTCCCTTTCTTTAGCTGTACCTCAGTTTCCCCACACGCACCTCCCTGCCCGGCTCTCATTACACTAAAATTAAAAGGTCTGCTATTTTAATACCGGTCGGCAGCAAAGGGAGAGGGCCCCGTCATTCCCTCCCCAGGTCAGCAGATTGGAATCTGTGGCGGAAAACAGCGCCAGGCTTCCAGCGTGATTAATTAGAAGCTAATTACAGACTCCCCGGATCAGCCTTATGATGCTTGCCAAGTAAGACGGGGAGCTTTACAAGCTGGGTGCAAAGCGTCCTCCGCATCTCCTTGGGCTCTGGTCTCCAGGACCATCCCGGGGAGCTTGGTGCCGCAGAGGACCAAGAAAGCTCAAATGAACCTCCAGTAGTCTACCTTCGAATGCCCACAGCTAGAGGTCAGACGAGGACTCTGGCCTCTGTGCCCCAGCAACATCAGACAGGCCACTGATAGAAAAAGGATGCCGGTCTATATGACCCTTCGGTCTGATCCGGCAAGCCCCATCTGACATTCAGAGAAGAGAAAGGTTTCTGTCCCCTGGTTGGGAACAAAGTTTGTCTCTGTCTTGTCTGTCCTAGAGGTGCAGTGCCCCATAATTAGAGAAGGAGGAAACCCCAGTGCCTGACTTGTCCCATGCCTCCCAGGCTCCGTGGCTGGTGGGAAACAGCACCTGTTGGTTACAGTGTAGGGTTGCCAGGTCCCTCCTGGGCACTGGTGTGTGTGTGTGGGGGGGGAACTCCTGGAGATTTGGGGGTGGAGCCTGGGGAGGACAGGGACCTCAGTGGGGTACAAGGCCATAGAGTCTACCCTCCAAGGCATCTGTTTTCTCCAGGGGAAACTGATCTCTGTAGTCTGGAGATGAGCAGTAATTCCAGGGGATCCCCAGGTCCCACCTGGAGGCTGGCATCCCTATCTAGAAGGGCAGAGGTGGGGGGCCTGTTTTAGGAATGGCATCTAGCAGCCTAGAACCCCTCTTCTCAAAGCAAGACCCAATCTGATCGGTTAGAGATGGGGAGTGAAGGTCCAAAACAAGGTCACAGGAAAGGTGTCTCTGTGTGTTAGTGACAGAACTGCCATAGTAGCAGAACCTTTTAATAGCTGCCTGGCAAGCAGAAATCCAACAGATTCAGCACCCCCAACATTCTGAGCCAGTTGCACTTCTGCCTACAAGCAGCTGTTACAAGATCAAAACTGGTAGCATGGATAACTGTTTCTGTTGACCCTGACATCAGCACAAGACACACTACCCCCCCCCGCCCACACACACACACACGTTTAGCACGGGCTACTTCACTGGGAGTAGCCAACACCCGTTCTTCGGCCATCCTAAACGCACTGACGTGGGAGGAGGAGTAAAGCCCCATTTCTGTCTGACTAAGCACAGTTAGGATTGCGCTGCGCGCGTGGCAAGAGCCGCAACGCCTAAAAGCTTCCCCGCGGGGGCCAGCTGGGTTGCGCGCCTTCCAATCCGCGACCGTGCAGGCAGAGAAAGCCCTCCCCGCCCGGTCCCCCGCCCCCCCCCCCCCCCGCGATTTCCCAACCAATCCACCAAACTGCCGGGAGTTTAAACATTACATGCTGGGGGGTGGGGTGGAGAGAAGAAGTTGCACATAACTGCCCCTTCCCAGCATTCTTGGGGGAAACAATAGGCCTCCCGCCCTGACCAGGCGAAGCGTGCAGGTGTGATTAGCAAAAAGTTAATCAAGGGGAGGACTCGGGAGGGACTGAGCGCCCTCTCTCTTTTTCTGCCTTCAGGGGCATTCAGCGGAGACATGGGCGCCTCTCCCCTCCTCCCTCCAGGAAATGAGATGGGAACCTTCAGGACTCTACCTGACCCAGGAAGACCGAAAGACCGCTGCCCTCACCCCCTCCCCTCCCCGAATGGCCGTTATGCCTCACTGTGTCCGTCCCCCCGCGACACCCAGGCGGCTTCTGAAAGAAATCTAATGCTCTTTCCCCAAAACCACTCCAGTTCAGAGTTTTACTCGAGAGCAACAAGCGTGACTCCCGTTTTATTCTAACGCCGGCGCGGCCGTCGCAAACCCGATTTCTGTCCCCTCCCCCGTCCAGGCGACTCACCTGGGACGTAAATCTCCCCTCTTTCTTCATCTGGAAGTTCGCTCCAGTTCCTCTTGCCGGTGGAAACGCACGCCTTCTTCACTAGGAAAGCTCGGGGCATCTTAAATTCGTGGAGTTTTTTCCACTCCCCACCCCGCAAAAAAAAAAAAAATCGATTCGTTTCCTTCAGTTTGGTCTCCTCAGCCCCCTTCCTCCCACGCCGCGACTTTAAAAACAACCACGAGCGAAGGGTCCGGGTTTGCTTGTAAATCAAAGGAGTTCTGCTGCGGATGGAACGTTGAGATCAAAGTTGGGAGCGTCCGGCGTCCCTCGGCTCGAACGCCAGCCCCGCGGCCGTTCCAAAGCGGGCCAGTTTCACCCTCACCCGGAGCCGTGTGGCCGTTGGCGCGCAGGGCTTAAAACCGGGGATCAAGGTACAAGAACGCAAGGTGGGAGGAAGGCGGAGGTAAACGGATTCCCTCCGCGCTTCGCCTCTCGCTCTCTCCCGGGATCCCCCCCCCCTTTTTTTGGCGTTCCCCTCCGTTGCACTCTCGTGGGGGAGAGGAGCTTTCTCTGGAAGCTCACGATCCGGAGAGACGAGCCAGTTGTCGCACGAGAAGGAGGAAAGGCGCAATGGCCCTAATTAGATCAGATGTTTGGGGAGGAGGTGGAAGGGGTGTGTGGTGGGGATGGCGCATGCGTTTGGAAATAACGGTGTCTTACTCTCTCTCTCCCTTTTTTTAAAAAAAACCTGGTGTGTTACCTGGTTGCCAAACCGGTTTGTGAGGGTAAGGAGGAGGAGACCATGTTTCTAACACCCACGGTTTCTATCATGGCTTTTGTGCTATTGTTTTGGCCGCCCCTCTTTTTTTTCTGTCTTTTCGGGGGGGGATACTTAACCCCCGTTTTAAAAAAGTTTTAAAAACAATAAATCAGAGGCGAACAATATGTTAACGAGTATGACGAATCAATGGGGGGGAAGGGGGATGTCGCAAAGTTCTGAAAGGTACAAATTAAATAACAAAAGGAACAGGAAGAAAAAGGCACGCAACCCCCCCCCCAAAAAAAACCCCCAAAACACCTTTCTAACTTTGAGAGGAAATCACTAATGACACCCCCCCCCTGCACAGTAACTCAGGACCGCGCCCACGTGGTGAGATTCAACTGAATACGATCCGAGAACGGTTTCCTGGGCCTGTCGGTAACTTCTGTCCCACCCACAGGCGACCAAGCCTTGAGGTCTGCCGATTTAGCGCGGCCTCCTCCCAGCCTTCACCTGGTGGATAAGTTTTTCCCTCCTCCACCTCCCCCCGCCCCATCCCTAGCCAGTGCCGTCGATTGTTCTAGGCAAGACCCTCTGTTATCCGATGGGCGGCTTATTGCTAGCCACCGTTAAAAGATAGCCGCTTGTGTTTACTTAAAGTCTCAGTGAGTCTTACTCCTACAGCCTTCCTTTTTACCAATAGCAGATTGTACCTTTCGGTCAACAGCAGCATTAATCAGACACAATGATTATATGTTTTTTAAAGTGCCAGTAGTCATACACCATTTCCACCAATTGCCCCCTCCCCCTGTGCATAGCCACTAGACCATTAGTAAGGTTGCCAGCTCCAGGTTGGGAAATTCCTGGAGATTGTGGGGTTGGGAGGTGAGGTTTGGGGAAGGAAGCAACCTCAGCAGGGTAAAATGCCATGGAGCCCACCCTCAAAAGCAGCCGTTTTCTCCCAAGAAACTGATCCCTGTCATCTGGAGATCACGTAATTCTGGGTGATCTCCAGCCCCCACCTGGATGTTGGCAAACAGCTATTCTGGACGGTCCACTAACCTACAGGAACTTGGAGGGCCCCATAGGCTACAGCAGAAGGAGAGGATTGCTGCTTCCCCCTTTTGAGAAAAGGGTACTTAATTTTGCTCAATGGTGTGGCTGGATACAGGTCATTATCTGGTCATCTTTGCAACAACCCTGTAGAGTAGATCAGTATTATTATCTCTAGGGTGTCAGGAGTCTTCTGACGGTGAGAAGCTGTGGCTTGCTTAACCTAAGGCCACCCATGAGTTCGAAGCGGTGGCGAGAATGGATCCAGGGATATTCTGGTTTTATTTCTAATCGCCTTTCAAAATGTGCACTCTGAAGTCTTCTATTGTTGGTTTGCAGCAGGCCTGGAAAACAGTTGCTGGCACTCCTTCGGAATGTGGTGCTGGAGGAGAGTTTTACGGATACCGTGAACCACCAAAAAGACAAATCAGTGGGCTCTAGAACAAATCAAGCCTGAACTCTCCCTAGAAGCTAAAATGACTAAACTGAGGCTATCGTACTTTGGTCACAGTATGAGAACAAAATACTCAACTGGTAAAGACAATAATGCTAGGAAAAGTTAAAGGAAGCAGGAAAAGAAGAAGAGCCAATAGGAGATGGATGGACGCAGTATATGATGAAGCCATGGGCCTGGGTTTAAAAGACCTGAGCAAGGCTGATAATGACAGGACGTTTTGGAGGCCATTAATTCATAGGGTCGCCGTAAGTCGGAAGTGACTTAACAGTACTTCACACACACAGAGACAGAGAGAGAGAGAGAGTGTAGCAGTGTTCATTTAAAATAAGCCCTCAGCAGGCATAATGCAAGATCCTTTGTAAGATTTTTGGGGTCCCAATCCCTACCTTCTCTCCCTCCCCCCCCTTTTTAATACAATATATTTTACTGAATATATCAATAAATGAACAGTTGGTGGAAATTTGAACAAAACATGTAGCTGTCATGAACAGGTGTACAAACATAATTTGAACATTAGACAAGTATTGTTTAGAGAATAACTCGTTGTGCTAAGCAAGTGGTTTGTCGCATATAAACACATAAAAAGGAGATACATAGTTTAGAATTCCAAGTAAAACATATATCCTTACATTGTTATGGAGATATTTGAGCAATAACTTTAACTGAGTGTCTATACTTAGGATAATAAGATACTTTTTACCACAATTGTAAAGCGTCAATTTCTTTGGGAGTGTCTTCAAATTGATTTAGATATTCTAAGAGAGGGAACCAGACTGCTATAAATGAGGAAGGAGCAGGGATCTTATCAAAGCGCGCAAGGTTATCCGAGAGTTTTGCCATGATATATAAATCCCACAATTTTTTGTGCCAATGTGAAATTGTGGGTGTCATTGTCGTTTTCCAGTGGGAGACAATGACCGTCTTGGCTGCAAAAAGCAGTATGGAGATTCCCTCCACCACTGATGGAGCAGAGTTATGAACTACCCAACTGTTCAAAAATAAGTTTTCTGGGGTTGGTGTTATATCTATGTTACGGATCGTTTTGATTTGATTCAGTACAGCTTCCCAAAATGGTAATATTTTAGGGCAGGATACCCAGCAATGCAGATACGTGCCCCTGTTGCCGCAGTTCTTCCAACACTTGGGGTTTCCTTCCCCCCTTTTAAGGGATCTAAACCCATGAGCCGTGCTGAACAAATTCAAAATGCCTGGCTTCTGGCAATACCTTTTCCTCTGCATTTTCAAAACATGAGAAATTAATGAGGGGGGGGGGTTGTGGGAAAAAAGTGAAGGGTGGGGCATGCCTTCATTCTTCCCCCCCTCCCCCCCTCCCTACCTGGAATGAGAACCTTTGCAAATACAGAGAACAAAGCAGAAGCAAACAATGAGGGGGGGAGGAGGCAGGGAGTTCCTGAGGCACTGACCCCAAACCAAGCAGTGGCCAGGGGTGTGGCCAGGGGTGGGGGGGGGGGGCCAGTTTGGACCCCCTGGGGAGTCTAGCAGATCAATGTGACCAAGGCTTAAAGAAGACTTTCCTGTCTGTGCCCCAACTCCCCAAAGACTGTTTCCCCCACCATCACCATGTAGGGGCTGTGCCCCTAGCCAGATGTGAAATAAGATTAACGGTAACAGGGGACTCTAATCCTGGCCACAGGGTTCATCCCATAGTCCTCCAAAGAGTGCTGAGTGAAGCTGAATTTTGAGCTCACAAAAGTTAACTGGCTGGAGAACAACACTGATCTCTGAGGAAAGTAGTCCTTACCTTTTAAAATGAAGATTCCAAAAGAACAAGGAGACAAAAATACAATAAAATCCATTAACATTATTAGTGGGACATTAAAATGGATAAATATAAACCATGAATAGAAACAGCAGCACAATAATGGCAACAAGAGTATATTATTTTTAAAAAGCCATTAAAACACACATTTGCATGCACTGAGGAGGAGTGATTCTCACTGACACTTGGGAAAGTTGACTTTGGGGTACAAATACATAGAACAGGGCTGGTGCAAGGAACCTAAAGGAGAGCTCTTCTGGAGCAGACCAGTGGTCCATCTAGTCCAAACAGCTGGAAGGATCCGCTGGGGGTTATTTACTCCAGAGAAAAGCCATTGAGTTTCGTGAGATTGCCATAAGATTCTACACCTTTGCATTTTTGCCTGTTGATGCTTCTTTGAGGGTTGAGTAGTTTCCATTCAAATGCCCCAAAGATGCATCTTCAGGGGCTTTGCGGTCTCCTTTCTATATGTAGGAACATAGAGTTGGAAGGGATCCCAAGGTCATCTAGTCCAACCCCCTGCACATTGCAGGAATTTCACAGCTACCTTCCCCTCCACTCCTCCTGTGACCCCTGCTCTATGCCCAGAGAAAGGCAAAAACCCTCCAGGATTCCTGGGCCAGTCTGGCCTAGAGGAAAATTCCTTCCTGGCCCCAAAGTGGCGATTGACATTACCCTGGGCATGTAAGAGAGGGCCACAAGAGCTGAGCATTGGTTCACCCCTTCCTGCCCTCCCTCCCATGATCTACCTAAATTCATAGTGAGTCACAGAACCAGCAGTGCTGTCAGATGGCCATATAGCCTTTGCTTAAAAACCTCCAAAGAAGGAGAGCCCACCACCTCCCAAGGAAGCCTGTTCCACCGAGGAACCACTCTGTCAAGAAGTACTGTACTACTAGTAACTGTTTTCTTGAAGGGGAGCATGTGGGTGTGGCTCAGAAGAGGAGAGTATTGCTATTACAGCTCCCCCACCACCCCCAAGTCGATCACATGGGCAGCTGCTGCTGGATTCGCCTAGCAGTGGAGCCTTCATGTCTGATAGGAAGGGTGTGTAGGAGGCTGCTGCAGCTCTGGCCTGTGCAATCTCCCCTTCTCTTACAATGCCTCCTGCAAGCAGCCAAAGGTGCGGCTTGGTACTTCTGTCGCCTTTGGCATTTGACTGGGCTGGCTGGCTTTAGTCAGCGGGCACAAAGTGTGCACAGCTCTCATTTGCAATGCAGGCTTGTCTAGATGCTCTCCCGGTTTCTTCCAACACTACTGTTATCTTTGGATTCAATGTTCAATTTCTGGAGCAAGAAGTGTTGGTCTTCAGGCCTCTTAGGGCAGTCTCACCTGGAACCTCTTCCTTCTCATCTAAGACGTGGGAGTGTTGATGAAGAAATGGCACTTTGCACATGTTCTGTAGCACTCTCTACTTCTGCTTATTGTATATGAGAACCTAAGAAGAGCTCTGCTGGATCAGCCCGGTTCTCCATCTAGTCCAGCATAATCTTTCACATAGCAGTCAACCACTTGATCTGGAGAGCCAACAGACAGAGCATAGAGGCAAAGGCTTTCCTCTTAGCATAAG